CTCAGGCTGCAAGCTCTCTTGCCCCTGGATTTGGATTGAAACTTACTCTTTCATGTCGATATCTATTCCCATTGTGTCATGCAATAGACCAGTACCAGGAAGATGTACACAGGATCCAAGCCCCTTCTTTGAATCAAACAATCATTTGCTCTCCCTACACTCTTCACAGTCACTTAAGGTATGCAAAGAGCAGGAGTTCTGACAAGCTTCGAATACTCAGAGTCAAGTTCTTAAATGATCTGATGCCACCCTGCCTCCAGGAGTGCTGCTGGCTCTTTGCTGCCCAGGGCAGCCTCTCCCGATCCTGCTGAGTTCTCTTCTGCTGGGTCATTCCTTTGCTCCCTTTTGAGCCCACCCCATGTCAACTCTCCTCACAGCAGCTCCTTCTGAGGCTCATGTGGCAACCCTGAACACTTATCCAAAGATGTTGCCAAATGGGACTAGCCAAATGGGACTATTACAGTAATGACTGGCTTTACCTTGGCACATCTGGACTTCAAAGCAACTTTGCTGCAACCCTGTAGGGCAGTTGGTACCTTGTATTTTAATTACCTGCTGACATGTCTTTGGCCCCATAAGGGCTAGACCTCACTCATCTCCATTATTTCTAGTGGCTGGTGCAGTCCTTGGCACTTAGCAGGTACTTAATAACTGCTGTCCAAAGAAGTCCATTCCTGTTCAACAGAGGCCAAGGCCCTGTGTGCCAAGGCACACCTCAGGAGTTGGTTTTTTCCTTCTACACAATTGCTCTGGGACTGAACTCCATGGCAAGTGCCTTAACCAGCTAGGCCATGTCATTGGCCCCAAGTTAGTTTTATTTAAGTGAGGAAAAAAGTTAGCATGTAGTCATTCATGTATACCCCACATCTTTATAAATAGCCTCTCGATAATAATAATAATAATAATAATAATAATAAATAATAATAATAATAACTCCAAGGAAGTGGCCTTGTATTAGATGAAGATAGAAAAATGCATTTCATGGGGTGCTTTAGTTTGGATCTGACTATCCCCCAGAGGCCCTGGTGCTCTTGGAAGGTGGTGGAGTTTCTAGGAGGTGGGGCTTAGTGAAGCACAGTTGGGTCATTGGGGATATGCTCTTGGATGGGTTAATTGAAGGACACAATGGTTTATTTATCTGTCTCTGTCTCAGTGTCAATCATTCTTGCAGCAATTCACTGTAGGTTGTCAAAGGCCCCTAAACAGCAGGCCAACCAACCATGGTCTGAAACCTCTGAAATCAGCAGCCAAAACAAGCCTTTCTTCTTTTTAAGTTGATTTTCTTAAGTATTTTGTCATGGTGATGAAAATACATAGGGTATTTGGTGTTCAGTCTCAAAAGCTAATATATCATTAAGTATGCACTGGCAGAGAGGACTAGAGACCTTAGAGGCATGGTTTCTAGTTCTTCTGTGGCTCTAGACAAGAGAGGTGTCCCTGCATCCATGCATCCATCTACCTATCCAGCCATCCAGCTATACCTCTAGGGCGACAGGTCCTGTGTAGCCAGGTAAGAAGCCTACATAGGTGACACATGAGCTGGGATTTGAGGGCAGAATAGTTCATTAGACAACAACAAGGAGTATGGAATACCTCGCTACAAGCAGTTTCAGTCATGAAGGACTGATTTGCGTGTGCACAGTGGGGTACAGTGTACTATGAGTTAGGAAAGAAGGGAGACAGGAAGGACCAGGCTTAGGATGACCTTAGAGGAATGGCCGGGGAGTCTGAACACCATCCTGAAGAATGTGAAGCAGGCGGAGGGGCGAAGCTTAGTTCCTTTAAAAAATTTTATTTATAAATGAGAGCAGAAGGCTTAACTGTAATTGGGGTGATCTACACTGTGTACTTACTGTATTAATAATTGCTTTATATGTTTAATTGAAATTAAGTATCTATAAAATTGCTTTTGTTTCAGTCTATATTTATGTGGCTCTACTGTACACTTCACTCAACAGGAAGTATGGGGCAGGGCTAATTTCTGAATTCTATCCTTTTCTTTACAATGAGTGACAGGAGTTGGTGGGAAAACCCTTCAGCAGCCTTCTCACTCCTGAGGGGAATGAATCTGAGGCGTGTTGCAATCAGATTCTCCGAAGACTAAGCCTTATTGCCCACAGTGGTTACCCACTCATCAAAGCGCTTTTCTGTGTTCCTTTTCTGGTCTGAACTTCCCACTCCCACACAGAACCTCCTGAGACACCCTCTAAGTAGAAGGGGAATGCTTTGGGAAATTTACTTCTGTTTTCTATTAATAGCAATTTTTTTTTTGGTCTTTTTGAGACAGGGTCTCCCTGTAGCCCCAGCTGTCCTGGAACTCACTATGTAGACGAGGCTGGCCTTGAACTCACAGAGATCCACCTGCCTCTGCCTCCCGAGTGCTGGGATTTTTAAAAGTTACGTTTTCCCATTTCATCTTGAGATATGCTTTTATAGGTTTTGTGTTAGAACCTTTTTATAAAGCTCATAACTGAGGCACATCGTCCACATGACAGGGTGGGTGAGCTCTCTTGGCCACCTCTTGCTATCCACCTAGGTGCAGCTAGATCTGGTTATGGCCATTTATATCTCCAGTTGATGAACCTTGCAATATGGTTTTCATGGGACAGGCACCTTTTTTCCCCTATCACTTTGCCTGGCTGCTTTCCTCGTTGATCCTGATGTCTTGGTGCCCTGCCCCCACTCTCACACTAATGTTCACAACATCACAAGGGGCCCATCATATCTTCTCATCTTCTGCCCAAATGAAACCTCGGGTTTTCTAGGTCAAATGTTTTTGTTTTTCTGACCTGGAACTCACTATCAGGAACTCATAGACCAGGCTGGCCTTGATCTCACAGAGAAATGCTTGCATCTGACTCCTGAATGCTGGGATTAAAGGCATGTGCCACCACATCCAGCTTCTAGACCAAATTTTTTACAGGTCATTGGGGATTCAGTGATTAACCTCATGTGCCCCCATTGTCTCCATGGCCAGATATAGTAGCTTATGATGTAATACATGTGGCCTTCTTAGAAACATCGTCCTTGACTGACCACAGCCCCTCTGTCTAGCATGCTTGTCCCCCGCAACTTCCAGGAAAGACAAGTTTGTTGGGAGACTTAGGCTCTAAGGCCTCCCTAGCCCAATCCACATGAGGCCAGATCTAACCTGACAGCATGCTTCTTTTATTACTCACTTTCCTCATTGTTCTTCTCCTGAGAACATTCTCAGTGAATCACACATACAGGATCTTATGCTGGGACAAAGGAACAGGGAAACCTGGACTTGCTGGTGTGTAGTATACAAATAGTACTTCCTAGCCCTGAACAGCTGTAGAACACACACACATGATCATTTCCTGATACTAATCCCTGTAAAAGACATTTCACAACATCATTTAGCAGAGAACAAAAATCAGGAAATAATATAAATATGTAACCAGAAGAATCTGTAGGAAATCCATAATAACCACATGGCAGAATATTATGCAGTCTTCAGACCAACAAGAAAAATAGGGTGGAGGGAAAAAAGCAACAGGCAGGAGGCTACTTGGTATACAAAAATAACATGCCAAGTGCCACATATGGAGAGGCCAACTGTGACTAAACTTTCTGCCAGCCAACAGAGATGATGAAGTCGTCAGTCACAACCCTGTGTCCAGAAGAAACAAGCCAAAATGCTCAATGAAGGTCCAGCTATTTCCAAGTTTAAGGATGAAGAGAAATTTCTCCTATAGGTCCTGAGTGAGAGGAAAGTCTGTGTATTGCCATCTCCCTGTCACCAATCACCTCTTTCCAGTTACCACAGAGATAGGTTTCACGGGTCTTGTCCCTGAGTAAGCCCCTGCCTTCCACTTCACACAGGGAATAAGCACCAGGGCATATGTAGTTCTCCAAAAGAGATTCAGGATGTGGCCAGAGATAACAGAACCTTATAGCTTACACAGTTCTCCCTTCGCAGGGTTCAATTCAGGGACAATTTTTAGGGTGGAGAAGGTGGATGGAAGCCATACCCTTCCTGTAGTCCTTGATGGCTTTTGTGGACTTCCCCTGAGATGATTTCTTGGAACATTTTTTTGAGCACTGCCATTCTGGGTGGTTCCATGTGCTTGAGTAGGCCCTTAGGCTGAGGAAGGTCAGTACAGTCCTATCACAAGAGGTACACCTGGCAGGATAAGTACCTGAACAGAAGGCTTCCCCTTCTACCTGCTCAAATTTACACCTAGGGCTACAAATGTGCTAAGGATTGAGGTGAAGGTTTTCCTCGAAAAGTGAATTGGGTTCCATTTTAATACTGAGCCCAAGACACAGTATGCCCAATGCTGTTAAGAGTGAGAAACTGCAGACACATGCATCTGAACAGCTGTCCCCTGAGCAACTGAATAGAACTGGGTCTTTCTGCATCCCCTGTTCCTCCTCACTGCTCCTCAGCTTCCTCAAAGGTGGGGCCCTGAGGAGCCTCAGGGAGGAGAAAATTCCTTGTATCATGCTTTCTAAACTTCATTTGAATAAGTCAATGTATTGGACAAAATACTCAATTCATGGAAATCATTTAATTTCCTCAATTCATCCAAAATGTGATGGAAATGAATAAACACGTTGAAGTGTCAGCCAACACAGGCAACTGTGTAATAGAGAACATGAAATATGTTATTACTGATAACAAGTGTGATCAGGAGTGATCTGTACTTATTTATTATTTTTACAACTACTGGCATAAAGCTACAATTTTTTAATAACGTAAGTATGCTGGAGATAATAACTGTACCATTTTAGAGTAGGGACCAAAAATACCATAGAGGGAGAGCTCACAAGAAAAGAGGGATGGCAGCCAATGCAAGATATAGTTATTCTTCAAGGTAAGTATTTTGACAGCTGTCTTGGCTAAACCCAACAACTTTCTTAGTCCAGGATGGAAAAACTCCTAACGATTCCAAGCATCACATAGCCGCAGCTATGAAGCAAGCCAGCAGGTGCACTGCCTGGTGAATGGCTCTCTTTCAGAGTGTCTTCCTTACCTTCTGCCACATGTTGATGAAGAAGAGTTCCCGGGAAACATTGAAGGACACATTGGCATCATAGGCATCATCCCCAAGGTTGGAGATGGAGATGTTCAGAGAGATATTCTTCACAGCTCCCAAAGCTAGATAGGGGGTTTTCTCATCAATACTGCAAAGAAAAGTAAATAACAATGAATACTCCAAAGCTTACAGTTATGTAACATGAGGTATCATGGGCTAGTTGAGAATGGGGGTTGGAAATTGGAATCAGAACCACAGTTCCCAGGAGTCCCATTCTCCAGGCATGTATCTATAGACAATGAGTCATCCATGGGCCTCTGCTTCCTCATCTAAAACATAGGGCTCTACTTTTTCTAACTTCCTAAACTGTTATGTGGTTTGTAGGAAATTTTATACATTGAACTTGGAATAAACTATACATGGAATTCTTGCATTCAGATATTTTGAGAAAACTTTACATTTTGATCATCACATTCTAGATTTGATGATTAGTGTTAATTGTTCACTTGACAGAATCTAGACTCACTTGGGAAGATGGGTCTCTGGGTGATATATTAATTGAGGTAAGAAGACCCACCTTAATTGTGAGTGGGACCAGTCCCTGGACAGGAATCATGAACTGTATAAAATGGAGAAATTGCGCTGAGCACAGGCATTTATTCATATTTCTGCTCTTCACTGAGGAAGCAATATGACCATCTCGCTCAAGCTCCTGCTACCTTCCCACCATGTGGGACTGGAACCTGGATCTGTGAGCCAAAAGAATCATTTTCTCCCTTAAGCTGCTTTAGTCAGAGCAGCTTATCACAGCAACAGGAAAAGAAACCTAAATGCTAGGGAAATGGCTGCATGTAACATCAAGGAGACAGAAAATTCATTCATGAAAATATACAAGTCAGACTAGAGAATATTTAGAAAGCATGTGGAGAAGAGGAAGTACCTGATCTGGAGAAGTGGACTTCGGTTTTGAATACACTAGTCAGGGAAGCCTCACTGAGGAGGTGACTTCTCACTAGAAATCAGAGAAGGGGAGGAAGATAAGCAGAATCCAGGGCCTACCAAAAGAGGTCCCTGCTGTGAACCTAGAACGTTCAAGGAATAGAAGGGAGGCCAGAAAGCAGTGATCAGGGTTGGAGGAAATGAGTTCATAAAGGTGAAGGGAGTGGGGCTAGGAGATACTGCAGGTCTTGATGGACCATCAAGACCTTGGTTTAAAGCTGAGAGAGGAGGGAGGAGCCCTTGCAGGGCTCTGAGCAGTGAAAAAGAGTGTCCTAGGGTGCACATCAAGAGGAGGCTCCTGCTGGCTATGATGGGAACTGTCTGTGGAGCAGTCTTGAGAGAAGCTGGGTGAGGAAGCTCCAGCAGTAAGCCAGCTAGAAGAAGGTGAAGGCTCAGCCCAGGGCGGGGGCAGTTCAAGTACAGAGACAAGCCACACTCAGGTTATGTTTCTAAGGCTGTGCCAACAGATTTTTTTCCTCATGAATTAGATGAGAGGTGTTAGAGGAAGAAGAGCCAAGGGTGGCCCTGGGGTCTTGGAATTCAGCAACACCCAGAGAAGAGCTGCCATTTAGTGAGATGGGAAAGGCTGTGAGTAGAGGGGTAGAAAGCCAGATGCCTGTTGGATTTTACAGGAGATGCAGAGGCAGCTTGGTGCGTGAGTTGGGAGTCGAAGGAGGCATTTGGGCTGGCGATCTATGTTTGGAATACAGTAGACCTTAGAGACATTAGAGACAGAGCGTAGAGAGAAGTTAGATTTTTCATTTAGAAGCTGGAAGATGAGGAGGAGCCAGCAAAGGAAGCAGGTGTGGCTAGGGATGTAGAAAGGAAATCAAGGGAGATGGCACAGAGGGGCCACCAGAGACTCTTTCCAAGAGAGGAATGTCAGTTTTGTCCAATGTGGCAGATAGGTCAAAAAAAACCCTGAAGAATTAGAACTGGTCATTGGAATTAGTTACCTAGAGCAGGGCTTCTTAAACTATTTCTACTTGTGACCTCTTTATGCTGCCCTGGTTTCATTTCTCTTGTTGTGATAAATTCCCTAACAAAAAAGCAACTTATGGGAAAAGGGGTTTATTTTGGATCACAATGCTGGTTAATAGTCCATCATAGCAGGCAACTCAAGGCGTCAGGAACTTAAAACAGCTGGTCACATCATGTCCACAGCAGAAATACGTGGAGGCATGAATGCTTGCTACTCAGCTCACTTTCTCCATTCTAGGACCGAAACCTAGGGAATGGTGCCATCCACAGTGGGCCAGGGCTTCCCATATCAATTATCATAATCAAGATGACCCCCCCACAGATAAGCCCACAGGCCAACCTGACCTAGACAATCCTCATTGAAGCCCTCTGCCCAAGTGATTTTAGATTGTGTCAAGTTGACAATTAAAACTAATTACCATAGTGTCTGAAATTTTTTACATGACCCTGGGTAAATAAGTATATAAAATAGACACGTGGATCAAATGTTTATTGATAATAAATCATAAGCCTATTTTAAAGTAATTCTTTGGTATACATAGAATTTTACCATTTATTGAAGATGAAAGAAAATTTGTAAATGAACAAGATGGATGTGCTTATCTGTCTACCATAACATAATCCTAATTTGGTACATGGTGAGGAGCGATGGTAGGAAATTATCGAAAGTCTTTGTTTTCTGTAATTAAATCATTATGTTCTCTAAGAACAGAAAACTTGTTGTGTACAAAAAAAATCCAACTCATAACACATAGTATCCTCAAATTTGAGCTGAGGTGTTTGGGGAAGCATCTGTGGGCACTGCATGGTGTGAGGGGATGCACAGTACAAAATGAACATGCTATGTGTTCAGAACCAAGGCTGCAGTGAGGCTGAGTGATGCAACATGGGTGAGAGCTGCCAGAAACACCTTAGATCTGAATCCATATTTAGGCATTTTGAGTCCAAAAACCTTTTACCATTGCCAAGATTTTGCACACCCATCCACATTCAGCTATGTGACCCCATGTTGGATTGTGACACACAGTTTAAGAAACTTTGATCTAGACAGAGGTCACTGGTGACCTTGTTATGAATTACATAAGTGAAATCATGGTTGAAAGCCTGACTGGTGTGAGAGGAGAATGAATGAAAACAGAAAGTACAGACGGCTATTGGGAGGAGTTTCTTTCAGAAAAGAGGAACAGAGAAACAGGATAGTCATTGCTGGGGAAGTTGGCTGGAGAGATGATTTTTTAAAAATTTGGGAATTACCATAATATATTTGTATGCTAATGGGAAGGATCCACCAGAGAGGGAACAATAAACTAACAAACACATGACAGAGGACAATTGCTCTTAGGGCCTGGTGAACACATGGAAAGGCTGGGGGTTGCTGTAAGAAAGCGGAACACGAGGCATGTTGTGCATGTGTGGTTGAAGAATGCAGACTCCTTTGTAACTGCCTGCATTTTGCACTGAAAGAGAAGCAGAGTTAAAGACAGGGAGGGTAGAGAGTGTTTGAGGATGTGGTGAGGGAAAGAAATGGTATCCAGGAAGGTAGGGACATCAAGGGTCAGGGATGAGGATGGAGATGAGGGTGATGATGAAGATGCACCCAAGACTGATGAGCACCAAATCATAGCAGCTCTGGGAAAAATCAAATCTCACCAGTGTCTAATCTTTAGTTGGCCAGCCAGTTAATGGAAGATGTGAGGAAGCATGAGAAAATTTGTGCAATGGACAGTTGTTTCTTTTGGCTATTTGGCTTTGGGGACTCCTTGATAGACATGAGGGGCATATCAACAGAAAATGGGAAAAAACCTACCCCTCCCTTGTGGGCTCTAGGCTGTGGACACCTGATTAAGTATGGTCCCATGATCTAAGGGTATTCAAGCCATCTTAATGTGGTACCTAATGCTCTGAAGTTTGAGGGTTGCACAAAGACATTACATTTCAGTCCTCTGTGGGCATATGAGGTGGCTGTATAAGTGTTGAAGACGTAGAAGTAGCTTCCTGAGCTAAGCTCGGCCTCCCTTGTTTCCTGTTGAAGTTGGTTCCCCAGCTTTGAAGCCTCTGCTTTCAACCAGCTCATATCTTTCTAATAATTCATTTTATGCTCAAATTAGCCAGCATATGTTTTTGTTGTCTGCAGCCATTAATACAGCTAATACAGCATGGAAGAAAACTGTTCAAACTCTCCATAGGCTATGATATTTTGAAAGACAAATTTCGGGGGGAAGGAATCACCATTATCCATCCATGGACAGAAGACCTTGCTCTTTAGTACGTCTGGCACTTCAACAAGAATAACATGTGCAACAAGAAATCTGATGGCCTTGCTTTGGAAGCAAGAGCTCCGAGGATCCAAACAAGATGTGAAAAATTAACTTAGAGTCCAAATTCTTGAATGGTCTCCAATAAATTCAGACCTTGACCTTAAGCTATTGTGGCAATGATTTATTATTGTTGGCCATTGGGGTTTTAAACAATTGATGGGTTATTTCTGTCCCCCTGTTTGGTTTTGTAAGATAAAAGGAGGAATCATCAGACCTTGAGTTAAGAGAACAGCAATAGCCTAGCTTTATCTAGAGGAGGACCTGAGTACAGTTCACAGATAGCCAGCACCGCAGAGTGACCACAGGGTCTGTGGAATATTAAGCAGAGAGGAAGCATAGACAGGCATGTGACCATTGCTGAAGACTGTCTCCTCTTTCCAGTATTGTAGTTCATAAGACCAGTCTCTTTATCTCATGTGTAAATGCCAAGGAGTTGAGCCAGGGACCTCTGAACTTCTGCCAGCTCCCCATCATGGGCCTCTGCCACTTAATCACACAACAAGGTCATTTCTGGGTTTTCATTGTCAAGTGATTCAAACGTGGCCCTGTGATTAAGGGAAGCCAGGCACCTTCCAGGGCAGAATGTGAACTCAAAACTTTTAAAAAGAAGCTTCAAAGTTGTTTTCATTCTTTCTCTGAGGCTAAAAATCTATAACCAAAACAGTACGTCGCTGCCTCCAAAGTTATTCTTAGAAATAAAATGAAAATACAGTTTACTAGGGTGAAGCTGGGTACTGTCAAACAAGTTGTCCTGAAACCTCCCAGGAACTGGTGTAAGTGCTGATTCTAGAGAAGAGAAATCATCAAGTAGAGCGCTCAGGCAACTGCACAAGAGGCCTGAGCCTCCCAT